CACTATCACTGGGATTTGAACTCTAGACCTGCCACTTGGGGGTTGACAACCTATCCACTTCACTAGGTTGCCACACCTCCTGCATTAGAAATCTCTACCAACCAGAGAAGTATAATGTAATATGTAATTTGAAAATTATGAAGAATCTACATAATTCAATTATTACCTCTATATAATAATCATAAAGATTCTTTACAATTTTTATATATAGGTATTTTGATAAAGTCAATATTAACTAATCATTTTAGCTAAATATTATTTCTACAATACCAAATTGGGCAACTCTTGATACATATAACTTCACAATAACCACTCTATAATTGAATGAAATTTCTTTTAGTTAGTAGTGATAAATCGAATGAAGCATCAGATTTTATGAGAGTTAATTGTAAAATAAACATACTATACATACAGTATCCAGAGAGGTTTCATAAATTATAATTTCTAGCATAACTTATTATTTTATTTGTAATGATAATTTTACATTTATTCTCATTCTTCATACACTTATTTATTATATAATCTGAAAGATATGAGATAAATTTTTTTTATTATATTTAATATTACAAACTCTGTTTAACATTAATTTCCACATACTAAAAAACTTGTTTATAGCATTAATTATGAATTTCCTTTTGATGCAAGATGGGTCCTAAAAGAGAAAATAAAGCTTGGTAATAAAGATGTTAGAAAGCATATGAAAAAAAGTGTATTACTATATTTGCAAAAGTTTTTTAGCAGGAAATTTAAGAGTTAAAAATCATTACTCACCTAAAGATATGCATGCCAGTTTAGAAGAATTAGCTGAAAAGGAAGAACTTGACTTTGAAGAAATACTGACAATAAAAACAATAAAAGCTTGGATAGGAAGATATAGTGCAAATTTCAAAAAAGAGGTGTCAGAAAGAGTTCTGTCAGAAAATAATAATAATTATATTGCAGTAGTTAATGAAAGTAGTAAACATCAAAAATTATATAATTAGAATATAACTAAACATAGAAATTATGAGCAATATTACTATGAAATCTTTCTTTCCTTCATATAAAACTTCTTAACTCATATAATAATAAATGTTTTATAAATATATGCTACATGGTCAAGATTTGGTCTCTTATATTAAGTGAAAATTTTATAAATTTATAATAATTAATAACTAGTCTTTATAGTAACATTGTATACCTATTTGTTTTTTAATTATAGATCATGCACCTATAAAAATCTATTCTTGATATATGGATCTGCAATTAAAATTTTATAATCACTTTGGATACTAGTATTAGAATTATCCGTGATAAAGGAATTAAGATATCAGAAAAGAGGTTGATTAGCCCAGATATAATCTATGCTACTCTGGTATCTGTTGCTTTGCCAAGCAAATGTTGAGTTATTAGTATATGTAGCCAGGTTATACATATTGTTGTATTAAAGAAAATAAAGCAACTTATATTTAATTGATAAGAAGTAAGAGACATTATTAGAAGCATTAAAGTCTTCTAAAATGATAGGTTGGATATTTGATATATAGGCTTGTTGAAGCCATATATTATAGAGTTTTGTACTAACAGTCTTAATTGAGTATTATTACATAATAAGTATACTAAAATAATTCTAAATTTGAAGTTATGTTTAAAAAGAATGTTTACTGCAATGACATATTCTAGAAAGAAAAGTATTTTGTAAATATGAGTTTTTATAAACTTGTGAATCATAACAGCTGTATCTGCTTTAGGACCTTTAGTACCTAACCACAAGTATATATAATGTTTGGATTCATGTAGTTTAGTAATTAGGTTGTTGGCAGCAATATTGGTTTCCATTATGCTGATATGCTAAGGTTGTTAGAGAGACTGTAGTCTTTTCATACTTGTTGTTTCAGGTTTTCATAAAATTCTTGAACATTATGTATACTGATTAATAGGCAAAGTTAGTTATTGCTAGGCTGTATTTCTGAAATTTTAGAGTTTAAAAAATAATGGCTGTTATAATTTTGTGTTGTTTGGTTTTGAGATATTAAAATAAGCAAATGTTTGTAGAATTTATATTAAATAGTGTTTATAGCTATATAATTAGAGATAGTAGGATCTGTAATTTTAGTATAAATATGTGTTTTTGTATTATTAAGATTAACTGATATTTTGATTAGATCAAAAAAAGGTTTTGGCATAAGTGTTTAATAAAATCCTTAAGTGTTATAGATTGTAATAATAGAGATAGGTAATATCATTTTAAAAATTTGTTATAACAAGTATTGTCTTTAAAGAAGTTAAAGTATTGGTATTAGAGACATTATATATAGTTTTTTCTACAGATTTATTCATATTAGGCTTTACTGTCTGCTTATTGTCATTATTCTTCTTTAAAGATAGCCTAATAAATGTGAAGAACATTATAGTTTTAGAGGTGGCAGCTGCATCAATGTGTTTTGTAAAAGACATTATTAAAAAGAAGGATTTACACTTTCTTCTTGCAAAGTAAAAATAGTATTTTTTGTTGTTTTTATTATTTCTTTTTGAAATATAAATATATCTTTATCTACTTCTTGAGAGGTAGATGTCTCAGAATTTTGTATAAAGAGAAAGTCTTTATATTGTTCTAAAATTGAGATTTTAAGATGTTTTATTAAAAAATTTTCAGCTACAGGGTAGTAAAATTGGCTATAATTAATATGTATTTGTTTTAGTGATATTTTGAATTTCATTTCTAATTTAAAGTATGTGATAGCTCTTGTAAGAGTATGAATGCTATTAGTTGTTTTAATCATTTTTTCTAGAGCTTCTTTTTGAATAGACCTGTAAGTTTATTATTGTCTCTTGCTGCTAACATAAAGGCTTTTAAATAGTAATAGAAGTAGTATATAGATCAGGCTGTATTACTTTCAACTTTGTTGAGCTTTGCAAAGGTCTTTTTAGTAGCTATAGCTAAACCTCTAAGTTCTTCTATAAGTTTTGAAATAGAAAAGCTTGTTGCAAGTTTTTGTTTAGAATGAAAAATATTAGTTTTCAAGATTGAATATACCTATTCTTTTTGTTCTGATTCTGGTACTGAATGAGTTTTGAAAGAGTTGTTAAAATAAAATTTAGATATATTTTCTAAATTATATTTAGTTGATTTGAGTAATAGGTTACAGTCTTTATTAGTGCAAAGATGAATATAGTGAGTGCTACTATAAAGGTTGCTTCAAAGTGCTCTTTAAGGGTATGTAATAAGTTTGGTAAGGAGTATAATATTGGCAAGAATTTTTTGCATTCTTCTGTTAATTTTTGTGATATTAATATTTTAATATAGTTGCTTGTTTTCTGTTGGTTGATTTTTTTAAATTAGATACTGTATTTTTTAAAGAAAGGTTTAAACTAGGTTTCATAAATTGCAAGATATAGCTTAAGTAATAGAATTCTAAAGTCTTTTAGAAATTTTTTAGATGAAATATTGAGTGTAGTATTAATGTTAAATCAGTTGTCTTTTTGAATTATAAATTTAAGTTGCTTGAAGCTATGTTTAATGTCAAAGTGAAGTATAAATCATAATGGTTTGATGTTAAGTTTTTTCATAAATTCTTCAAAGTTGATAGTTCTATATTTATAGTTTAGATAAAGATGTAAGCAGACTAGGTTTATAATAACTCTATATCTGTTGGTATGTGAATAAGATGAGATAGAATAGTGTGATTAGAAATGTATAAATAGTCTAGTTGAGTAAAAAAAACTTTTGTAAACTTGAAAACTAGCCTTTAAGATTATCATGAAAAGCTTTAAAAGAGATTGCTTTTGATTTATCAAAGTCAGAGCTTGAGTTAATAATGAAATCTAACAAAAACTTAGATTTTTTGCTTGCTATTTTATTAAAGATGTAGCTAAAGAAAAATTTGGCAGATAGTTTGTTGTTATTTTTGTTATTATCAGATTTATTAAGAATAACTTGTTTAGAAATAAAGTCTCTAAGGTTAGATTTCAAAAAATTGAATAGTTGTAAGGCCAGTAGAGTGTTAAGTTTATTATGTTGTTGCATAGTTAAAGTAACAAGATAGTTTTTAAATTAGTTGAAATCTTTAGAAGTATCATATTTTGGAGTATTTGCTTTTTGTTTGGGTTGTTTGTTGTTATCCATATTTTGTTTGTTGTTATTTGAAATTTCTTTTGTATTAGAGTTATTGTCTGCTTGTTTGTTAATATTTTTTGTTTTTTTTAGAAAGTTTATCCAGAAATTTTTTAAAAAAAATGTGTTTATCTTTTGCAGATAGTTGTAGACATTTGATTTTGCAATAAAGATCACATTGCTTTCAGTTTATAGAACTTGTAATTTTGGCTAGCTTTAGTTTGAGTCTGTAAATATATTAAAAGTAGGCAAAAAAGTCATCAACTTTGGTTTTGAATACAAGGCTTTTGAATCTAATAAATGTTTGTTATCAGTTAGTATAATGCAGAATACATCTTTGGTTTTGCAAATAATGCATGTATATGCTAATAGAAATAGGTTGTAAAAGAGATTTAGTTATTGGTATCTTGTCTAATATTGCTGTAACAGTTAGAAAATAGATTAGCAATATTTTTTTAGGCTAAAAAGATGACTTTGGTACATTATAGAGAGATTTGTAAAGTTTGGCATTTAGATCAATTTCTATTGAATTAGATAACTCAATTGCAATTATAAAGGTGAAGTTAGAAAAAAGTAGCAGAAATAAATACTGCAAAGTGAAGTATATATAATTTTTTTACAATGACATTTTGTGATGATGTGTTAAGTAAGAATGTAAAATAAGTAATAGCCATTGTTAATATTATATTGTGTAGAATTGAAGTTAGTAGAAAGGACTTTAAAGCTTTTATAGTTTTTGTTTAAGTTAACTAAAGTTCGATTACTATATTTGTTTTGAAGAATTTCTAGATCAAAAAAGTCTTGTTCAATAGTGATAATGCTAAGCATTTTGTATAACTATCCTAGTATAGTGTTTGAGCTAGTAAAAAACAATTTTCAAATTAAATTAAATAATCTAATTTTCAAGTAAAATTTTCTAATTTAGAGGCTTTACAAATAAGTTAGAAAGGATCTGAGAAATGTAAGACTATTAGAAAGTCTAATAAATATTTAAAAAATTTTAATAGATGCTAGAAAAGTGAATTTTCTAAGGTAACTTAATGAATTTTCTGAGGCAACACAATGAATTTTTCTAAATTTGCCAGTGAAATAATTTGCAAATGCAGGTTTTAGTTTTTGTATTTTTTCAATATCTCATAAGTTTTGTTTGTTTGCTATAAAATATATATCATTATAACCAGAATAAAGTGCTTGTTATTTTTTTAATAAGTAGCAAGGTATAATTAATTAGTAAAATATTTAGCAAATAAGTAAAAACTAAAATTTTGGGTTTGGAACTTTTCTTAGTAGCCAAGTATTGCAGATACATGAAAAATGGCTGGCTGCCTAGAAGGAGAAAAGTAAGCTGAACAACTTTACTTAGTAATGCAAATAAGGTTTACTTAATAAAATATTAAAAAATAATTAAATGTTTTTAGCAAAAATTTGGTATAAGTGATCTATAGAGAGAGTTACAAAAGTATAATGAAAACTATTGTTTTAAACTAAATCTCTTATTATTAAGAATTTAAATACATTACTTTAAAGATAGGAGGCAGTATTTCAAAATTATATATAAACCTAATAGTAAATTTTTTTATATTTAATTTTATAAAAAATTATATTAAGTAATCTAATTTTAATTATTAAATAGTAGGTTTTTCTAATTCTAATGATAGTAAAATTATTAAAATAGGTTAAAAACTCATTGAGATATTAATTTTTAAAAATTAGGATATAAAATTATAGAATAAAATTAACTAATAGATTTATATAAATTAACTAATCAAATTCTTTTTTTGTACTATTTAAGAAAATTTTAACCTATCTAAGTAAACTTTTGTTATATATGCAAGTATATTTTTTTAAAATAATACAATACATCAAATTTTACTATAATAGAGAAATAAT